CAACAGAGCATCAAAATATGTGAGGCAAAAACTGTTAAACCTGAAAAAGGAAATGGACCCATCTACTATTATAATTAGAGACTTCAAAGGTCCTCTTTCCGGGCTTCCCTGGTGGCTCAGTGGTTGGGAGTCTGCCTGCCAATGCAGGGGACACGGGTTCGGGCCCTGCTCTGGGAGGATCTCACGTGCCGCGGAGCGGCTGAACCCATGTGCCTCAGCTGTTGGGCCTACTCTCTGGAGCCCACGGGCAACAACTGCTAAAGTCCGTGCACCTAGAGCCCGTGCTCCGCGGCAGGAGGAGCCACTGCAATAAGAGGCCCGCGCACCGCAGCGGGGGGTAGCCTCTGCTCGCTGCGGCTGGAGAGGGCCCGCGTGCAGCAACAGGGACCCCACACAGCCTAAAATAAATAAATTTATTTTAAAAAACCAAAAAAAAACAAGTCCTCTTTCCAAAATTGATAGCTCAAATAGGCAGCAAATCAATAAGGACGCAGTTGGCCTGAACAGCACAACCAATCACCTTTATCTAACTGACATTTACAAATACTCTATCCAAGACAGCATAATATGCATTCTCCCCAAGCTCGCATGGAATATTCATCCACAAAGACCACATTCTGGGCCATAAAACATACATTAACAAATTACAGAAAAGTAGAAATCATACACAGTATGTTCTTAGACCACAAATGAATTAACCTAGAAATCAAAAACAGAAAGGTAGCTGAAAATCTCCAATTATTTGGAAACTAAACGATATATTTCTAAAAATATTTGGGTCAAAGAGGAACTCTCAAGTGTAATTAAAATATATTGAATGAAACAAAAATGGAAACACAGTTTATCAAAATTTGTTGTATGCAGTGAAAAGCAGTGCTTAGAGCAAAATTTATGGCATTAAATGGAAAAGAAGAAAGAAAAAATCAACAAGCTCTAGTATACCTTAGTATACTAGAGAGAGAAGAACAATTTAAGCCTAAAGCAAGCAGGAAAAAAAAAAGAAATAATAAAAATGAGAGAAGAAATAAATGAAATTAAAAACAGAAAAACAATAGAGAAAATTAACAAAACTTAAAGTTGATTCTTTGAAAAGATCATTAAAATTTATAAAACTGTCCCAAGCTAACTAAGAAAGAAAGATATTGGACACAGTTTATCAATATCAGAAATGAAGGAAGGTTAATTCCTCTTGACTTCATGAACATGAAAAAAAAAAAAGAATTACAATAAACAACCCTATACTTACAAATTTGAACATTTAGAAGAAATGGATCAATTCTTTGAAAGACACAACTATCAAAATGTATGCAAGAACAAACAGGTATCAAATAGGTAAATAGGCCTATATCAATAAAAATAAACTTGTTCTATGAAGCCAGTATTACCCCAATATCAAAACAAGAAGACTGAATCCAACCATGTATAAAAGCAAATATAAACCACGACCAAGTGGGATTTATCCCAGGTATGCAAGAATGCTCAACATTCTAAAGTCAGACAAGTAATCCATCACATCAACAGGCTGAAGAAAAAAAATCACACAACCCTATCATTAGATGCAGAAAAAGCATCTGACAAAATTCTCACCCATTCATTTTAAAAAACCGTCGGTAAACTAGGAATAGAGAGAAACTTTGTCAATTTAATAAAGAATGTGGGGCTTCCCTGGTGGCGCAGTGGTTAAGAATCCGCCTGCCAATGCAAGGGACATAGGTTCAAGCCCTGGTCTGGGAAGATCCCACATGCCACAGAGCAACTAAGCCCGTGCGCCACAACTACTGAGCCTGTGCTCGAGAGCCCACATGCCACAACTACTGAAGCCCGAGCTCCTAGAGCCTGTGTTCTGCAACAAGAGAAGCCACTGCAATGAGAAGCCCATGCAACACAACGATGAGTAGCCCCTGCTTGCCGCAACTAGAGAAAGCCTGGGTGCAGCAACGAAGACCCAATGCAGCCAAAAATCAATCAATTAATTAATATTTTTAAAAAAGTATATGCAGCAAATCCTACAGCTAACATCATACTTAATGGTGAGAAAATGGATGCTTCCTCCTAAAATCAGGAACAAGGTAAGCATGTCCTCTTTTATCACTCCTAGTCCACATAATACTGGAAGTCCTAGCTAGTTCAGTAAGATAAGAAAACGTATACAGATAGGAAGAGAAGAAATAAAACTGTCTCCATTAGTGAGTGACAATATTCTAGCAGAAAATTCCAAAGAATGCTCAAAAATATTCCTGAAGCAAGTACAGCAAGGTTGCAAGATATAAGGTTAATATACAAAAGCCAACTGCTTTCCTATATTCCAGCAATGAACTACTGAAATTAGAAATTAAAAAACAATATCATTTACAATAGCTCCATAAAATAAAATACTTAAAAGTAACTCTAACAAAATATGTATGGGACTTTTATATAGAAAACTATAAAACATTGCTGAAAAATTCAAAGAAGATCTAAATAAATAGTTATTTCATATTCATGGACTGGATGACTCAATATTGTTAACATGTCAATTTTTCCAAACTTGATCTACAGATTCAGTGGAATCCCAATCAAAATCCAAACAAGCTATTTTGTAGCTACCTACAAATTGATTCTAAAGTTTATATGAAAAGGCAGAAGAATCAGAATAGCAAACATGATACTAAAAAAAAAGTCAGAAGAATGACACTACTGAACTTCAAGACTTACTACAAAGCTACAGTAATCAACACAGTGTGACATTATTGGTCAAAGAAAGGATACATGGATCAGTGCAATAGAACAGACCAACACAAATATAGTCAACTGATCTTTGACAAAGGAGCAAAGGCAATTCAACAGGAAAATGATTTTTTTTCAACAAATGATACTGGAACAACTGAACGTTCACATGCAAAAAAAAAAAATTGACACACACAGACCGTACACCAACATTAAATAAAGATGGATCATGGACCTAAATATAAAATGTAAAACTATAAAACTTCAAGAAGAAAACATAGACTTAAAACTATGTGACCTACAGTTTGGTGATGCATTTAGATATAATATCAAATGTATGATCTCTAAAAGAAAAACAAATGCCAAGTTAGACTTCATTAAAGTTAAAAAATTCTTCTCTGCAAAAGACACTGACATGAGAATGAAAAGACAAGCCTCACACTGACAGTAAATATTTGCAAAACATATATAAAGTACTTCTGTCCAAAATATACAAAGAACTCTTAAAAGTCAACAATAAGAAAAGAATCAAATTAAAAATGGGCAAAAGGGCTTCCCTGGTGGCGCAGTGGTTGAGAGTCCGTCTGCCGATGCAGGGGACACGGGTTCGTGCCCCGGTCCGGGAAGATCCCACATGCCGCGGAGCGGCTGGGCCGGTGAGCCATGGCCGCTGAGCCTGCGCGTCCGGAGCCTGTGCTCCGCAACGGGAGAGGCCACAACAGTGAGAGGCCCGCGTACGGCCAAAAAAAGAAAAAAATGGGCAAAAGATGTGAACAAACATGTCACCAAAGAAGATAAACAGGGAGCAAATAAGCAAGTGAAACGATGCCCCACGTTATTTTCCATTAGGGAACTGAAAATTAAAGCAACAATTAAATCTCTCCACACCTATGAGAATGCCTAATATACAGCAAATACCAAGTGCTGACAAGGATTCAGGAAAGTGGGACTCTCATACATTGCTGGTGGCTATGAAAATGTGTAAACACTCTGGAAAACTGTTTTTAGGGTTCCTATAACGATAAACAAGTTTACCAAAAGACCTAGCATTGGTACTCCAAGGTATTTACTCACCTGATGTGAAAACTTGTCCATACAAAGCTCTGCATGCAACTGTTTGTAGAATACCTATTCACAACTGCCCTAACAAGAAACCTTCAATGGATGAATAAACAAAACGCGGTACAAATAATGGGATAGCATCCAATAATAAAAAGAACTATCGATAAACAGGGGTGAATCTCAAAGGCATAATGGTGAATGAATAAAGTCAGTTTCAAAATGCTGCATATTGCATAATTCTATGTGTATAACATTCTCGAAAAGACAAAACTACAGCAATGGAGAATATATCAGTGGTTGCCATATGTCAGAACATATTAGGGTTTGGGGAGGGTGTGGCTATAGAAGGGCAAAAAGGGGGAGTTCTTGGGATGATGTATCCTAATTGTGCTAGTGGTTACACGCATCCAAACTGGTGTTTGAAAACTCACAGGGCTGTATATCCAAAAAAATAAGTCAATTTTACTGTATACTAATGTAAGAAGTCAAATAAATTACTAAAAATGATATATATTTAGTAATTTACAGATATGTGTGCATAATGTTAAAAACCAAGCAAGAAGTCCTAAACTAAGAGTGAAACGATTGTCAAGAAATGCATGAGGATGGCATTAGTAACTTGTAATATAACATTATTTGGAAGGGGGGGCGTGGTTACACCGAGAGGGTGATGTGAGAGTGGGCAGAAGGCAGTGGGACGGCCTTGGCATCAGAGAGAGGAGCCGTCCGAAGTTGTGGTGTGAAAATACTTTTAAGAGGAAGGCAAGAAATGGGGAAAGGTCAGAGAACCGGTTTAAGAGGCAAAGGGAGCAGCTTCAGATGAGATGTGATGCACTGGCCCCGAAGCAGGTCTCGGCAATGGAGCCGAGACAGGATGGGTGGGAGAAAGTTTGGGAGGCTGAGGAAGAAAGCGTGAGCAGAAAGCAAGAAATGAGGGTGGGCGCAGACAGTGCGAGGCAGGCAGACGGGCAAAGGAAGGTTAAGCAGGGGCACCTGGAAGAGCTAGCGCGGGCGAGGGGATGCGGGCGAGGGGCGCCCCGCGCTCTCCCCGGAGTCCGGGTCTCTGCTCGAGTGATTGCCGCGAGCACGCGCGCTCAGAGCCGGCCGGCAGGGCGGGGGCGGGGTGCGCGCACGTCCACGAGGGGAGGGGGCGGGGCGCAGCTGCGGCCGGTGACGTCAGGGGGCGCGCGCGGCCGCGGGCGGAGCGGAGGGGCGCGAGGGGCGGAGCGGAGCGCGGGAGGAGGCGGGGGTGGAGAGGCCCCCGGACCGCGAGCGGCAGCTGGGGAGGGGGCCGCGGAGCCGGAGCGCGAGAAACAGCTGATCCGATTTTCCTTAAAGCGAGAGAAAATGGAAGTCGGGTAGCGGTGACTGAGGCGCTGCGGGCTGGCCGAGCGGAGCGGCACGGCGCGGCAGGTGAGACGGCGCTGGCCGCGGTGCTGCCGGTGGCGGTGGGGCCGGGGCCGCGGTCCCGGTAGGTGCGCGGTCAGTCCCAGCGCGGCGCCGGATGCCTCCGCGGCTTTGCGGCGGAGCAGGTGGGCGCAGAGGCCGGGCAGCCCCTGTACCGGGCCGCGAGGGCGCGGGGGTCGCGGGCTCGGCGCGGGGCTCGCCGGCGCGTCTGCATTGCGGGCTCGGCTCTGGACCCCGCGGGCGCCGCGGCCACCGGCTCCGGCCCGGCGCGGGTCTCTGGGCAGGGCGCGGCGCTCTCGCTGGGTCGCTGACGGTGTCTCCTCCGGGCCCCTGAGCCATATGCACTGGAACGTGATGACGGGCGCGGGGACACCGGCCCCTCTGTCCGTGTGGGCGCGCCGGAGTCCCGGGGCGCCAGCGGACGCCCGGGCACGGCCCGGCAGCAGCGCGTGAGGCCGTCGGCCGGTTGCCCCGGCTGCGTGGGCCACCGCGGCCCGGTACGCTGCTCGCTCGTTCCACTGGGTCTGTCTGGACAGCGGGCGAACCGTTAATGCAATTTGGCTGTGAACCCGGAGCCCTTCCCTGTTATCTTCTCACTGGAGGGGGGGAGATCGCATCTGCTGTGCTCTAAGTGCTCCTTTAAATTCGGGAGATGTCAGTGATGTCATCATTAACAAAAACTTTCCTTCATTGGACACAACCACCCAAGTGCACCCTCCTCCCGTGCAGCTTTTGCAGCCTTTTGAGACTCTGCCACAAAATAGATTTCCCTCTGCTCTGTGAACTCGCCAGCCTTACACAGGTGAAAACGGTTTTTATTTCTTGACTTGAGAATGAATAGATTCGAGAGTGCCTGGAGGGAAACTTGTTAGATCCCCACGGATCTGGGAATCGCTTCATCCACATCACAAGGATCCAAGGGAAAGTCATGCATGACCCTTAAGTGGTTATTGACTGGCTTTATCTTTATGACTGAAAGTGAGCCGTGAGATGAAAAAATTTAAAAGACATTATATTCCAGGTGGTAGATGATGTGTTCAGGAAAAGGTAGACAGTGTGGCCTAGATCTTGAAGGGCCTTGATTGCTTCAGGAAAATCTGCGGGTCTTCTTCCTCTCCATCACCTCCTCTCCCTGCCCCCCTCCCCCCAACTAGGATGGGCCTGGGAGCAGCTTGCTCTGGAGAAAGGGGTGACAGCTTCTCTGGGGCCCTGCCGGCCTTCCCTTTCCTTACCGTAGCAGCTGTGCGGCCCACCAGGTTGAAGGCCAGCTTAACATCTGAAGAGGGTTGAGAGTGCAGAGGCTGGGACCTACCTGTATGGCACACAAAGTTCTGGGGAAATTTCTCCTCCTAAATTCGAGCAGCGTGTCAGCCTTATTGTGTGTGTGAGTATTCCATTAGTACTGACTGTAATGAGAACAGAAGTAAGCAAGTTCCCAAGACAGTCTGTATATCTGCTTAAGCCTATCATGTCAAAAGGATATTCAGCACGGGACAAAAATATTGACATTTGTGTATTTAATAATTAATGACTCTTCCTCATTGGTTCAAAGAAGCATGCCTTAAATTATTAGTGTGGTCATATTGGGTCTGTAAGGAACTAAATACCACAGGCCATGAAAAAGTTTGAGTCTGATCAGGAAGATAAGCTTTCAAAAACCCTGGATTGGTGGGAAGAAAACGGGGAAGCAGAGCTTCACCTTATGCCTTGGCATTCAGGCTGGCAGTAGATGGAAACCATTGCATTATGGAGTCTTGCCTTGTGTGGGTCTCAGCCTGAGTCCTGTGTGGAGGCTCTCAGCCCTGGTGGAGGACAGCACAAAAGTCACCAAAAAGCTGAACTGTCTGTTCTCCCCTTGTGGAGAAGGGGAGGGGCATGGCCCTCTGAAGCAGCCATGTGTGCATGGCCTGTCACCTCCTGAAGGTGCCAGATTTACTCACAGTGGCAAGGCTGCATGAGACAGGAAGCCCTGTAGCGGAATTGTCTCCAAATGTGCATCTTTTCGTCTTTTCCTCGACTTTGCCCCTGCTGCATAACAGTTGCTACTTGACCTCTTAAGTCATTGCCGAGATTTTTTCTGTAATTGAAGTAGCGTCAATCCTACGAAAATTGGTTATTAAGGCTCTGAGCTATGAACTCTGGCCACATATCCTTTTCACTTGTAGACCTGTGAAAATATTCATTATAATGTTTCTGATTTAACTCACTGTAGTACTCGTGAAAATGCAAATTCAAGTGTTCTCACTAAATCTTGAGATAGTAATCACTGATTTCCTAAAACATTTCAAAAACCCTTACTTTAAAGCCTCTTCATCCCCTTTTTATGGTTAGAGCATCACATTTTCTGATTCTGGGAAGCCGTAATTGCCTTGGCTTTTCTTTTTGTTCCCTTTGGGTGTTAAGGTCATTTAATTCCTGTTTTAGGCCCAGAGAATAAAGGCTGAGTCAGCTCCCGAGGGGCCAGCAGGGGGCGTGCTAAATGCATCTTGGCGGTCCTCTACCTGAGCCACCTTGGGAAAGGATGAAGGATCCCCAAACTGGGGGTCTGTGCGTGTGTGCCCCGCGTCTCCATGTGCCCATCGCCCAAGGAATGGACACTGAAGGAAGCACATGCTTTGACTAGCCGGAGGTTATGGCTTCCAGAATGGGTCTCCCTCCGTGGGGCAGAGAGATTGCTTTAATGGCTGCACATCTTTGAAGAGTGATGGTTGGTCCTAGTCGGAAGATTCAATGCCTTCTCAGACCACAGAAGGGAGAGTGTTGGCTTGGGGAGGAGCGACTTGGCCTCATGGAACTCCTGCCTACATCTTGGTCCTGGTGAGGGCGTGATAGTGCCGGCCAGGATAGCCAGTGGAAATGCCCACCATCCCCCAATAATGCTTTCTTTGGGGTTTGACAGCTACTGACTTAAACTCCAGGACTCTGTCAGTGGCACCTCCCAGGGGGTTTATTTGCCTGCCTTGCGAGGGTTATTGGCCTCAGGGTTTCTCTGATGGAGAAATGCAAATGTTTAATCCCTCTGTGTGTCTTTACCTGAAGAAAATGAAAACGGGAGAAAAGAGGCAACTGTGCTTTTCACTTAAATGTGCTTAATCTGATTTTAAGTGTGTGCCATGTTATTCATCAGAAAGTTCCTAGTGAGTCTAGAGAGGCGAGCTCATGCGGGGAGGGTTGTCTTGCCAAGGTGAGGGGGAGGTGTGTGTGTCCCAGGGCTTGGATGACCATCAAGGGGTCTAGTTATGGTGTCCTCCCCAGGTTCCTTGTGGAGCCCAGATGCTGAAGGGAGAGATCACACCTTGAAGGGAATAAGTCTTCTACTAGACAACTGTCCAAATGCTATGACTGGATATTTCTTTGTATTTCTTGTTCTGTTGAAAATGCATGTAAATCAGACTGTTGATTTCAAAGGGGCAAATGGAAATTGTTTTCCAGCTTTGTGCCTCTCTTGGAGCACTTTAAATGGCTACAGGGAAAGTGCCACTCAATTAAAAGACAGGTGGTACCTGATCCTTTTGGAAGCTGTCCATCCCTGAGGAGGAGCACAGAATATCCTACTCAGAGGGAATCCTGAGATCCATAGGCATTTGAAAGGAAACAAAACATGCTGGTTCCTTTTTATGGTATATCTAATTTGAAAATATTTTACCCTTGAAACTTGGAAGCAGAGTTTCATTTGCCCTTGGCAGACTGCTGCATCCCCCAAGCAGTCTGTGTGTCAGACCAAGAAAAAGATGACATTAACACAGGTGTGACAGGTGTGACAGAGCAGGCCAGGAAGGAACTGCCTTCTCTACTCTTTGGGGATGGAATTCCTTACCATTCATAGTAACAGAATGGGTATATGGGTTGAAAACAAGTCTTTCAAATTCTGAAAATGAGACACAGGCTGATGCTGCTGTATTACCTGCCCATGTTGTCGAGGTGTGTTTAGCTGGCTGGTTTACACACAGTATCTCATGGTGGGAGGGAGGGCTCTGGTAAAGACTGGGATTAAGAGGGAGTAGACCCTGCATTTCCTCCTGCATCGGCCACAGCCAGCCACCCTGGACGAGGCATGGCACCGTCATGCTCTAGGCCGCTCGTGAGAAAAGGAGAAAGTTAACCTCCCATGTCTCCAAGGCCTTATCTAGTAAAATTGCAGGATCCCACAAACCCCTAGAGCTTGCTATTAGATTTCTGCTATCCACCATCTCACATTCTGAGAAGTCAAATGTACATTCATGCTAATGCAAGTTCTAAGTACATCTCTCTTGCTTTAAGTAGATAAGTCTAAAGTAAACTCATTTTCTGGGTTTGAAGGATCTTGAGTTTCTCCTTGCAAGGAACTATTTTCTGTTTGAGCTTAGTTTATTCTTCCATAGTTTTCCTTATAAGTGTGATGGATATTTGATGTCTGAGTGAATATGCATGCATAAGATGCAGTATTAACTTTAAGGAAATTTAAAAGGAGAACGCTGAAATTCATTTTCTTTTCTGCTCAGTGTTTCATTCAATTGTTTTATTAGATCAGCAGAGTTTCACATGATGCTAGGGTTGGGTGTGAACAGACCACCAACCCATCCCTCTGTGAGATTCAGTTTCTCAGTTACTGAGGTGAGTTTAGGAGTGGATGTCCTGGTGCTGCCCCTGCCACCTTGAGCCTTGCTACCGCTGTGAAGACTCCAGCTTTGCTGCCACTGGGGCTGACACACCCGTGATTTACCCAGATTATCTCTGTGGTTCCATTTTAAAATTGTCTATGACATGGGGCTCCCCTGGATATTTTTTTAAATATTTATTTATTTATTTATTGTATGCCGGGTCTTAGTTGCGGCACGCGGGATCTTTGTTGCGGCATGCAGGCTCTTTTTTAGTAGTGGCATGCGGTCTTCTTAGTTGCGGCATATGGACTCTTAGTTGCGGCATGCCTGCAGGATCCCCGACCGGGGATCGAACCCGGGCCCCCTGCATTGGGAGCACAGAGTTTTACCCACTGGACCACCAAGGAAGTCCCCCTCCCCTGGATA